ACCCAACAACGATGGCCTCCAACCTAATAGCGGTGGCCTCCAACCTACTAGCGTTTCATTCCTCACTCATGACTCATGGACCCGGGAATGAGGATCGTGCCTTCGATTGGCCACGTTCTTCCGGGCATGAAGAAGCAGAACCTTTGATGTGAAATGGGCCATAACACATGCCTTTGGGTTCACCAGTTTGTTTCCTACACTGGCAGGCGTCCCACCTCACACATTGTTGTTGGCAACTGCACTTCTTTCTGTGCAATTCGTGCAGCTGTCTGACAAGCTGGTATTGTTATTTCGACTGCGAGTTGCTCCCGAACTCCGCGTTTGACCCTTTTTTTCATCACTCAGGATTTCCTTCACCTATGAACCACCAGCGTCAATGAAAGCGGATGTGTCGATCCCGGTGCAAATCGCTTCCTATCTGCAATGGACGCTTTGGGGGTGGCACTTTGCAACTGAAGCTGCGACCTGACGCAAAGCGTCAGGTTGGCGATGTCAATCGAATAATGCCCTTTGCTACCTTGCTACTAGCAGTATTGGCCTGAAACCTAGTAGCGATGGCCTCCAACCTACTAGCTTCTTGTGACTAAGGACATTTCAGAATACATATGATTCATGTATTGGATGTAGTTTCACTTTGAACATTTGAGGCTTCTATCGTGCCTGAGGAAGAAGAGGACGCCCAATTGAACTTTCATGGCTACTTTCAGTAATTAATGAACGATTGTGGTGAGGCTTGGACATAAGTTCTTGGTGAGGAGCATCAAGAAGCATCGAACACCTTTCCAAAGAGGTCTAAAGAAAGAAGAGGAAGGAAGAGAAAGAAGAGAAGAGCCAGACAAATGGAAGAAAGGTCTAGAGTCTAGAGGCCTAAAGGAGAAAAAAAAGATAAGTTTGAAGAAATGAAAGAAGAAAGACCTACAGAAAAAGGATCAGAATACCTTTAAACAAGTTCAAGGTCTTGGGCTTAATTTCTGAGCATTTCAGGCCTCGTTCTTTGCGTTACTTATATGGATACAAGAGGTGGACAAGATGTGACCATCGTTTGGACCTGTGCAGCCATGCACGGCCATGTTGGGACTGGGAACCTGAAGGACTGGGACAATGCTTGGCATTTGAAAGCGGCAGATACACAGGATGCTGATGAGGCTCTCCTGGAGTGAATCAAGATCAAGCAAACTTGCATGGTCTGCGTAGCTTTCATATGCGTTCGGATGTGGCTAGGTTGATCCAGAACCTCCGCACACCGTGGTGGATGGATCGGCGCGAGAAATGCCGCTCAGGCCAGCTGAATGGTTCCCAAACCAAGCTAGCATGGAAGACAGTGAAATTTGCCTTTGTGAATGTGGGGGGAAGGAAGTTGATTTACCAGGTGCAAGGGACTGTAGATATCCAGTAGATTTACCTGGAAATTGAATATCGGTTGTTTTGCTCATGTCCAACCAGGACTTTGGCAGTTGCAGATGAGATGTCATATGAGTGCGGTGTTGAGCGCATCTACTTCAGTGCCACGGTACTTTTCCAGAGCCGCTTGTACCGCTTCACAGCTCCTTGGAAGCACTTACTGCGATGATGGGAGCTCCCAGGATCGAATGCATCGAACGACCCGTGGTGCTCCCGTGACGTTTTTTCGTCCCGTGCTCCGCGGATGGCCATCGTGTCCATTGGATGTACCCAGCACGGTCCCCAAGTTCACTCCATCCGGATGGCCATCAAGCATTGGCAAGACATGATCCTTCCAAACCCGTCTCAAGTTGGTGGGGAGTTTGACCAGAAGAATTGGATAGGCATCTGCTTTCCGGGGTTGTGGCTCCCTAGGACAATGTCCAGATCTCAGCATGTTCTGGACTTTGAGGTTTCGAACCCTTCGTCCATTGCTCTTCCCTACAACTGGCGCGTGGTGCCGATGGAGGAGATGCTGTTGGATCATGCGAATAGAGGGCCCCCTTGAGCGACCAAACATTCTGAACATCAGGAGAGAGAACGCACCGGGCTTCTACCTTATTCAATCACACCACCCAAAGGCCATGCTGATCGAACTGCAAACCTGCAGCTTTGGCTGTCCATGCTGACTTTCCATTCCTTCTGCTGTCCATGCTGGAGCATGATTTCCATGTCTCCTGCGGAGGGACGATTGCGGCGGGTGCTTCTGCAGAGTTTGAAATCCGATTCGCACCCAAAGAGGTCGAGGACTTTTCCGCAGTCTTGGATGCACAGCTGCATCAGCTAGGTGAATCACACATATATTTAATCATATTATCATATTTACACATATATATATATATGTATTTCATTTTTCCAAGAAGAGCCCAATAGCGATGGCCTCCAACCTACTAGCGATGGCCTCCGTGGTTGAATGATAGTGGACGTGTTTCAATGATAGTGAGTAGAGGGATGGCTGCTTGGAGGTGGAAGTTCTTATATACATTGGCCCTATACTATAGGGAGAGGTTTCGGTCATGAGACCCTCCTTGCAAAGGCTTTCAGGAGTGCAAAGCGAGAGTTGGCAGCTGAGTGAACACATTTCATCCAAGGACAGCCGAATGCCTTTGAAGGAGCCAATTGTTTTGGGAGCTATTCGGAGTTGTTCGGGTTCGCGGGGTCGCCCAAAGAACACGGAAGCAGTTTGTTTATATAGTATCAAAACTGTCAGTCTATATAGTCCCTTTTTTCGATGATTCCGGGCGAATTGGAAAGCAAACAGACGTAACAGAGAAGTAAACAAACCTCAGAAAGAGTGGCTCCCTCAGTGACTCGCTGTCCTCTTGGGGCGTCGTAGGCCGCGAGAGGAGGGGCAGAGTCGTAGGCGGAAGAAGATGCACGGATGCCACAGAGCCACAGGGCTCGGGATCTTCATGTTGAAATGGGTCCTACTAGCGATGGTCTCCAACCTCGGAACGGCCTCGAGCCTAGTAGCGCTGTTAGGTTGATGTAAGCCATGTAAGCTGTAAGCTCTGTGGTGCGGACGTCATATGGACAATGGCTAAGGAGTGGAGAGACTTGGAGAGACGATGGGGCGCTGAATTTGAGATTTGTATGTTTTTTTTGTGAGAATTGCCCACCTCTCAACATCCCTCTTGTGAGAATTTTGACCATGGATCTTGGCCGTCAGGAGCCCCTGCGAATCCCTTTAAATGGTTCAGCTTTGCGGCCCTGGTGCCACTTTGAGGCGCTCGGATGCTATTGGTTTGGAGGGCATTTCTACTATTAGGTTGGAGGTTAGCGCTCTTAGGGTGGAGGCCATCGCTACTAGGTTGGAGGCCATTTCTATTAGGTTGTGTCTTGCCGCAAGAGCAGCTGGAAGCACGGGTGTTCAATGTTGTTCAGGCGGCTGTGCTCATCGTATGCGAAGTTTCATCGTGGTTCTATGGTCCAGCCAGGGTGATATAAGGTTTTGTCCCCACAAGTCCTGGCCGCATGCGATACAATGATTTGAAACCTGGTGGCCTTTCTTGCGATGTCGGACACATCCGATTGGGACGTCCTTGCGACAGGTTCCGGTCAGTGACTATCGCGCCATGCGGCAAGCGGAAGAACCATTGGATCCCAAATACGAGGCGACGGACCCGACCCGCTCGATGCACGGACCGAGCGGAAGGAGTGCCCGTTCGATCGAGTGAAACGAAATCCGGAACGCCAGATCATCGAATGCGAGTCCCTCGGCACGAAAGTACGCAACATCAAGCGATTCTATGCCCCTTGGCCGCCTTGATGTCCATTGCCATGAGAACATCTATCTCTTTGCTCCTCGCAGGTGTTGAATCCCACATCTGACTCCTACGAGTTCAATTGGATACAAGAAGAGCCAGAGAAAAAAGAGCAAGCAACAACACTCTCCCATCCATTCCGCTGCTTGACCAAGTCTGGGACTCAGTATTAGATTTTTGGATTTGAGGGGAATCACTCCTTTAAACTCTGCATTTGAGTTTTATCCACAGGCGTGGTACAATCCTGCCGGGGAAGAAGTTTGAGATGCTCTTCGAATACTTGCCAACGGCCACGCGTCATTGAAAGCAGGGTTGCGTTTGTTGGAGCAGTTCTTGTCCTGTGAAGGTGGACACAGGGAGAGATGTGCGATGTTGTGGCACTTGACAATTACATTCAGATATAGCTTCTTGTTGCTAGTAGTAATGCCATTGTTACTAGTAGCGATGGCCTCCAACCTAATGGCAATGGCCTCCAACCTAGTAGCTTCGTGTTACTAGTAGCGATGCACTTGTTACTAGCATTTGTTCACGCTATGGTGCCGAGGACCCGGAGACCTATGAATCACGCTGGGTCTTCTCAGTTCCTGCCAAGCAGGCTTCACAACCATTTCTGCTTGTGGGCACGGTGAAGGAACCAAGGGTGGGCCACTCGGCAAACACCGGATGCTGAGGATGCACGGATTGGGGTATCATTGAGGGGGTTTGCATGGATTTGCTGATCCGGTAGTGTGTATAACATTGTAGAAGCATATAACTATATAAAATATTACGAAAGCCAGCCGATAGGCTAGGCTGAAGTTGGTCTATGCGAGCGAAGTGAGCCTTTAGGGTGGGGGGGGGCAGATGGGGAAAAGTGGATGTAAACCATATCAGCCTGCTGGGTTTTAATTTTCCACAAGGTAATGTTTGATGGGTTGGTGATGCGTGAATGAGATATTGCATCACTAGCATCATATCCGCACTAGAGTCACTAGAGTAGACCAAATGCACCCTTTAGGTCACGCATGTGTATTGCATGTGCGCCAAAAAGTCACCTGCTGGCTCCTCCTGGCTTTCGTTTCCTCTTCTCAGATTAGTGTATATCATATCTACAGCCAGAAAAGTAGATAATACGCTATGTGCCTTTGTGTAGATGTACAATAACTAAAAAATTTCTTGTGTGTGTGATATTCAGATATAACATGTGCGCGTGTTGGCATATGTATATAAATACATAAATCAATATGTTATGCTGTCTTGGTTTAAGATTGTCACACTGTCCTTTGACTTATATGTATTTGTCTCATGTGGCGGACGGGGTAAGGCTTCGACGTCCCTTGCATCAAGTTCAAACGGCTGCTTTTGGGTGCGAAGATGACCGAGAAGGTCAACCTCATCAACCAGGCGGCGAGACTTTCATGTCACCATGTATTATGTGCTTGTTCATGAGATGCCGATCTCATGACAAACAAACAATCACTATGATGCTCATGATGCTTTGTGACTGATATGGCTTTGTCACACTTTGTCTATTCCTTCCGTGCTTGCAGGAAAATCTTCCGTTGAACTTCTCCTTTGAACGTGCTGCAGGGCATCCAGCGCTCAAGCTAAATCCAAAGGTTGGAGTCATTCCACCAGGTGGGCTTAACCAAAAGGGCCTTGAGATCCCTGAGAGACAGAAAAGGAGTTGAACATGAGTTAGGTCCTCAGGTCCACTGCGGGGAAGCAATCTGTGATTCAGTTCAGATTTGCAGGTGAGTCCTTCCCGGTGGAAGTGAGATTCTCTCCGAATGAGGAGAAATTCTACAACTTGAATGACACTTGGCAGCATGACACAGTTGCCGAAGTCTTCAGAAAGATGCCCTAAATCGAATTCTCAAAATGAGAGTCTGTGCCTTTTTTTTGGGGGGGTGCATGTTTCTCACACCAGAGGTCAAAGGGGCATGATCTTGCGGTTTTGACGGTTTCCAGGTTGTTTGCACGGTGAAGCGGAAGCAGAAGCCAGTCTTGCTGAACATTAAGGGTGAAGGCACAGATGTCTTGTCTGACATGTTTCCGGATGTGCTTGTGCCGTGAAGTCAGGCTATAGAATACATACCAAGCTGGTGGTGGAAGAAGGTGAGGAAGGCAGAGAATTGCGAAATGGAGTCAAGGACGGGCTATTTCCAGCTAAGCCACAGCGCATTAATTATGCCATGAGTCATCACATGATGGGAATGACTGAAAAGGAGCTCTTGGACTTTGGAGAAGTGCAGGCGAGCGAACATCGATGCGAATTGCCAGGGGACTAGGGAATGCCATGCCTTATCATGCCTTACTCCTGTTTTATTGCCGATTGCACAATGGTCTTGCAACCCGACAACTCGATTTTGTCTCTTTCGTTCCTTGCGAGTCCGTGGTTGACCTGCCTTACACTCGGAAAAGGGAGGGCCCTTCGTGTGCGGCAAACAGAGTCAGGCGGAGGAACGACGAAGCTTCACGTTGAAACTGAGCAGTCCAAGCCCACCAGGGCCTCGCTTTGATGATGATCAGTTGCCGGCACGTCACTTGGTTTGAGATGTTTAAGGGTGCACATGAAATTTATGTTTCCTTTTTCTGTAGGATATTTGCACCCGCCAAGCCTTATCTATTTTGTGTGGAATGCTGTTCATGATGACTTGATATGTGCTGAGGCTACTATTTTGTGTGGCAGATGCGCAATTCCTTCGGGCGGGTAGTGCTCCCACAATCCGACGCGCCTCCATATTTGACCATCACGCCGGAGCAGGGTGTCATCACCCAGGACAGCGAAACGGCGCGATTCTGAGATTTTCAATAAGAAAGCAGCTGCACTGACGCATGGCAAGGCCACCGGACCGGCGTATCAAGCATTTTTGAGCCGCAGCGCCGTTGGCCTAAGGCAATCATCGTAGAGTACTCGCCAATGGATGTGCACAAACTTGATGGTGCTTCACTGCAGATGCGCATTCCATCAGGCCATGGTACTGAAGCGGCGGTACACTTCTCGTGGCTAGAACTTGTGAGATCTGATAACTGTGACAAGGTCCTGAGGACACCGGCTACACCTTGTCGCTGTTTGGACATTCTTTCAGGTGGGCTGAGACTTGTTGAGCAATTCTGAGCACATTCTTGGACTGCTCAGCCCGCTCTCAGCCCACAACTGCTCCCTCCTCGAGGCCACCCATAGAACCGAGCCAACCTGCAGAGCCCGGACCAGTTGATGAAGGCTTGATGTAAGAGAGCACAGAAACAATCAGAGAAGGAAAGGAAGATCGGTTCCTTTTGCTATTAGGTTGGAGGCCAGGACCATCACTATTAGAAAACTCCTTTGAAGAAAAACATGCAAGAGAGCGAGTCGAAGCGAGTGACACTTGTAGGGGCATCCCCAAACCTGTAAGATCTGCAAGGACGTGAGTTCCCGGCATTAGCAGGCTAAAGCAGCCCGCAGGAGTAGATGAATTAGCATCAAATATGGTTTTGCGCAAGGTTCTTGATGCATCTTTTTAAATGTCGCTTTGCCTTTCAGAGATTTCAGAGCAACGACAGTGAATGCGCCTTAAAGATGCTCGAAGCCACTTTACTGAAACTTTGAAGTAAGTAGCATCTCTCCCTACTAGCTACCTAGCTACCTCTGCTAGCGGCCTACTCTCCTCTTTAAAAAAGGAGTATGCATTGCAATGTAGTTGCCAGGTGGGGTCACTGACAGCATCCCGAGACTCGGCTGATTTGAGTGGTGAAGTGGTGCAGAGGGTGGAATGGAAGCCTTGCACAGCGGCGAAATACATCAGCTTTAAGAGTTTCGACTTGAGGTACGAGGAGCCAGCAGCCAAACCTTCAGGCCAAAAGACGGGTGAAAGGGCTGAAGTGATATCAGAGCATATCCATAGAGAACGCTACTAGGAGCAAAGGACATCACTACTAGGAGTAAGGACGCTATTAGGGGCTTTTTCATTTCATTTGACTGGAAGAGGGAGACCCTTAGGCAAACGAGAGAGGGAGGCTTTAGGATCACGTGCATCAAATTGATTTTGGATGATGTTTTTCCTGATCAAGATAGCATGGGCTACCTGAGTCCACCCTGCTTTGGACTCTCATCCTTCTCATCCTCTGTTCTCATGTCCTCACTCTCTCATCCGTCCTCATATTTTATCATTCATCCTCATTCTCGTCCGCACGGTGGATCATCTTGGACATTTCAGGGCACCTTGGACATTTCAGGGTCCTTTCTCATTCATAGCGTTCTTGTTCTTAGCAGTAAGGCCAGGAGCCCCTAATAGCGTCCTTGCTCCTAGTAGTGATGCCAGGAGGTTTCAGTAGCGTTCTTGCTACAGCTTGTTGCCAGGTTTGCCTGGCTTGGCCAAGACCATTATCTTCAAGGCTCCCTTGGGGTCTGCGGATTGCACACGCCCCTTCCGGTACGGACCTCGAACAGGAACGACCTGAGTCGTGACCAAGCAAGCTATGAGGGATTTGGGCAAGGAC